CCACCTGCCCCTCTTCGGCCGCGGCCGCCTCGGCGGCTTTACCCCAGCCTCGCCACCCCTGCTCGGCGGTACCGGTTCCCCAGGCGCCCTGGACGCCTGTCTCCTCCCCTTCCTCCTCCTCCCCTTTAGCCTCCTGCCTTAATAGCGGCTGCGCCTGCGAGGGGGGTCCGGATGCCCGGTGCTCCGGGGTCACGGGCCCCAGACAGCTCTCCGGGGTCAGCGGGTCATGGGCGCCGGCGGGCGGCGGCAGCGGCAGGGACATGAGGATGTGAGTAGAGGGGACAAAGGGTCCAACCTAGCCCGAAAGCGAGCCCTGGGGCTTTCTCCTGTCTTTCTGGCCACTACCTGAGCCCAGGTTGGGGCACACAGAACTACAGTTCCTGAAGAAAAGTACACGTTATTCCAACCCCCCCAACACACCCTTTCCGAGCTTTCTACCACCCCTGAACCTGCCCAGCTGCATGTGATACCACGGGGCTTATGGTCAACCTATCCAGTCAGTCTGGCTGATCCTAGATGCTTGACAGGTGTTGAAATTGCTGATAGCTCTAGCACCCAACCCACGAAGACCAGTCAACCCTTTAACTTACTTTCTTGGCCCATTTCTCTTGAAACTTAAAAAAAAAAAAAAAAAAAAAAATCCTCAGTTGCCCAATTCCGCGAAGTACAGAGTAGAAGGTACAGAATGAGCCTAGCTTAGTGTAGGTGTTGGGGCGAAAAGATCCTCACCCTTCATTTGTATTTACGTAAGGGTTAGCTAGGTGGATGCGCCAAACATTAAAAAGTGTGCTCGTGACAATCATTCCTGCTCCTAAAGTTGGTTAATATTTTGTGGCTATAGATAAAGCAAGTATGCCTTTGCTTCTATTAAGCGCTTGTTATCCCTCACCCAACTTTTTTTTTGTTTTTGTTTTCTCCTGTGCTGCCCTCCAGATGGGAATGGTTATTTATATTGCTTTCCTATCTACTTGCCTTGTTTAAAGTGAGTCACTGGTTAGTTGGGGTGTTTTCAAGTATTCTTTACAACTTTCCCATTTAGCCATTCCTGAACTTGTGTTTATGAGCCCCTCTTAAAATTATAGAATGTTAGATTTGAAGGGACTATCGAGATCTTGTCATCCCAATTCTTTTCATCCAAGGACTCTTTTTATTATGTTTTCATCCGTGGACCCCATATCTTGAAAGATTTTGTCACTTAAATGAAATCACATACATCACTGTCATGGATGTAATGCTAATAAGCAATAAAGTTAAATAAGTGTACAAACACTAGGCACTGTTCCCTGGAAATGGTCGCTTAATTTTGGCTGTCACTCTTCTGATCCAAGGTTGATCACATGCTGGAGGAATTAAATCAGATATTGTAAAAACCAGATAAATAACTCTGCTAACAGCATATGGTCCGCCAATAACATCCTAGAGATTTCTATGATGTCATCAACAGCAAATTAGAATTTCTGATCAGCGTGTGATAACCAGCGTTAGCCCGCAGGGTTGATTTAATGCCTGCCAAAAGTAAAGAAACTTGACATTTTATTTAATTGCAATTTCCAGAAGGCTTTCTGAAATATTGTAAATAGCTTGTGGACTTCATTCTTCCTTCCCTCTAGTTTAAAGCTAATCCCTCTCCCCTGTTCTAAATCTCTTCCTGTCCCCCTTTCTTGGGGTGTTGATGACTCCATCAGTCATCCCTACGTCAATCATCCTCTCTCTGTGTCTTCTTTAAACTCTCCCTCTCTCCTGGCTATTTCCCTTCCACCAATAAGTTTCTCATTTTAGTGAAATACATCCATGAACTCTCTTGTTTCTGTGTGTTTACTTCTACAGCTCTCTTTTCTTCTCTGAACAAGTATCTAGAAAGAGTAGTTGACTTTGAGGTCTCCACTGGCTCCACTCCCATTCTCCCTTCTAAATAACTCTCAAATATACTGCCTCTGCTCTATCCCCTTGCTGTTGCCTTGGTTAAGGCATGATTTCTTGCCTGAATTTCCTATTTAACTCATCTTCCTCAATTCCGGCTCAAAAATCCAATCTTACTGCTTCTCTGCCATACCTCTAACCAGACTGAACTTTTCAAAACTCAAATCTGATGATGTTAAAAACTAGATAGTGGCTCCATGTTCATTTGCCAACCCCTAAACCATCCAGAATGTTTACTAATGCTCTGCCAGTTACCTCACCCCCTAATAATCTGATAAAAAGGGAAACCATCTGATAGGAACACTTTCAACTGTGCATTACTTAAAAACAAAAGCAAAAACAGAAACAACTACCACATTTATCCCTTTTCTTCTAACCAAATATCGATTTCTCATTTTATCACAGGAGGTCATGGGAATAAAGAGGACAGGAAAAGGAGACAAAATGGAGCAGCCAGAACAGTAGGAGGAGCACAATTTTGAGGTGAGAATCTTCTGGTCTAAATTGTTTCTGTTTCACTATATCCATTCATTAGTTTATATTGATCTAATTTTTTATTATGGTATAATTGACATAACATATTAATCTCAGGTGTGCAATGTAATGATTTGACATTTATATATAAAGTATTACAAGGTGATCACCACAATGATTCTAGTTAACATCAGTCACCGTACATAATTACAAAGATTTTTTTCTTGTGATGAAAACTTTTAAGATCTACTCTCTCAGCAACTTTGAAATACCCTATACAGTATTATTAACTATACTTCTTTTCTGATTTGAAAAATTCCTTCCTCCACCAAAGCTGTCTCTTTCATCTGTGTGTTGGTATACCCCTATTTGAGAACTTGGTCTCGTAAGTTTCCCTTCTTTATTTCTACCTTCAATTTATCCTTCTTCACTGTTTGTCCTACATATAAGCTCAAATGTTTCCTATTTAAAGCGCCTTCCTTAATTCACTACACAATCTCTCTTCTCCCTATGGAACTTCTTGAAGGAACAATCTGATTTCTTTCTTTCTTTCTTTCTTTCTTTCTTTCTTTCTTTCTTTCTTTCGTTCATTCATTCTTCCGTTCGTTCATTCTTTCCTTCCTTTTCTTTCTTTCTTTTGTTTTCTTTCCTTCCTTCCCTTTTCTTTCTTTCTTTTACTACTTAATTGATTTTTAAGAACTTGAAAACTAACTTCTCCTATTACTTTACTTAAACCACTTGTTCAAATGTCAGCCGCATCCTAACTGACCAAACCCAATGTCTCTATCCTAACTTTATCCTTCTTCCCTGCACAGCATTGTTGGAATATTTGCTTTCTTAAATCTTTTCTTTTTGACTTCTGTGACACTACAGCCTTCTGTCTCCTTTCTCATGCATCTCCAAGAAGAATCCTCTTGCTTTTGCAAATCCTTATATGTAAGTACTTTTCAAAGTTTTCTTGTTTGCTTACTTTTCTTCTTGGGAAACCTACGTTACAAGTTGGCTTCAACTATCACATTGGATCCTGCATGCAACTTAGATTCCTCTCACATGCTCCAGACCTCATTCATGTATCTCAGGGATAGCTTCATCAAGTCTCTCATGGTACCTCAGACTCAATGTGTCAGAAACCAGTTTTATTTTCCTTCCAAACCCATTCATCCTGTTATGTTTACCATTTAGGTTATTGACACCACTGTCCTTCAAGTCATGCCTGCTAATCTTTGACTCATCTTTCTCCTCTGCTTTATCTCAAGTATGGGTTTTCAGTTGGTTGTGTGATCACAGATGAGCCATTGGATAGTCAGAACAAAGTACTAAAACTTCTATTTATCATGAATTCCTGTTACAAATGATTTTAAAAGATAATTTTGGTGACAAAAACAAACTTCACTTAACACCTCATGAAACGGATAGCTCCTTTCACAGAACTGCAAAATGTGGTGGAAGGCAAGGAATTTTAATTGGATAAAAAAAGAACCAAGGAAGAGAGAAAGAGACAATATCTAATTGGCTGGAGTCACACAGTCAACTTTGTTTGGGATGAGAAGAAACAAGGAAATAAGTATACAGCCCAGAGCTAGCTTGGCATTTGCGAATTGGCTCATTGCATTTCTGGTTAAGTGGGGGCATTTACAAGAGACACAAAACTTAGAAAAGTTTTGATTTGCTGATATGGCACCCCTGGGCAGGAATGGCTTATCTTGGGCCTAAGAAGTTATTTCAATATTCCAAACTACAAGAAAATAAGGTTTTATTACTATTTCATATAAGTACTTCCCTTGTACCCTAACTTGGTCTATAGGTAGAGTCATGTCATGTGCACATGGAGAGGAATCCTGAGGGGAGTGTGGGAATTCACATTTGTGAAGAGATCAACAATGGCTCACTTATTTGTTGACTTTAAGCCGATTGTGCCTGTGAGCCTAACAAATGGATTCAGATTGTATTATCTACTTTTACTTGAACTCACAAAATAGACGGTGACTTTAAAATTCCCTATGGTGAATGGGAATTGAAGATGATTCTAATTTATAAAAGCACTAGCAAACAAGAACGTGTAGAATGGAATCTTCTGCTACTACAAGCTCTTCATCAACTACCTCACATGTTTTTTAAAAAAAGTGTGCCTATTATCATCTACACACATATAGATATATCAGATATGTACATAGATTGTGTATCATCCATGACATACACAGACATGGACAACTTAAATCTGTAAGAAATCAGAAAAAAATTTTGAAATTATCCAGATTATTTGAAATGAGAATTTACATTTGCTCATTGTAAACCACAGATCTTGCTATAAATCTGTGGTGCTTGGAGGTGAGTTACTACTAATACAAAGCCATGGAAATTAACAAGATGTTTAGAAATTAAGCATCCAAACATGAATTAAACCACTCTCTTTAAAAGCAAAAAAAGTTTGTGAGCATGTGTGAATGTTTCAAATTACATGCATTATATTAGTTATATTAGCAGTACATTTTTTATAACTATGCATTAGTTGGAGGAGTTCATGCTCCAATTTTAACGAATATTGAGTGCACAGTCAAAAACCCCAAATCACTTACTTAGTGAATTACTGTATCCTTTTTATTCTGGTTTCCTCAAAGCTCTTTCCTTTCCAGAATGCTCTGGTTCAGGCTTCAACCTGACCATTGCAATAGGTTCCTACTACTCCTTTTTCTGATATCTCACTTTTTCAATCTCTTTTTTTTGCCAATTGCTGCTAGAGTTACTTGTCTGAGGCTTATATTTGGTCTTGTCATTTCCCTGCTTAAAAACTTTGGGGGTTTCCTGTCAGGACACAAAGAATTCCCAGCCTCTTTTTTTTTTTTTTAAAGATTTTTTATTTATTTATTTGACAGAGAGAGGCACAGCGAGAGAGGGAACACAAGCAGGG